ATATTAGCAACACTAAAATCTCGCGGCTCCTCCACCGGAAGCGAAGTGGAGGTGCTTTCTGATACTGGCGCGTCCGTGTATTGGGATTCGGTGGATTCAGAGGCAACGGTTTCAATATTAGCAACACTAAAATCTCGAGGCTCCTCCACCGGAAGCGAAGTGGAGGTGCTTTCTGATACTGGCGCGTCCGTGTATTGGGATTCGGTGGATTCCGAGGCAACGGTTTCAATATTAGCAACACTAAAATCTCGAGGCTCCTCCACCGGAAGCGAAGTGGAGGTGCTTTCTGACACTGGCGCGTCCGTGTATTGGGATTCGGTGGATTCAGAGGCAACGGTTTCAATACTTCCCAACTGTACTTCAGTGGTAAAAAGTCTCGAGGTTGCATCCGAAGTATCCATAAATGTGGGTGTCATCGTATTTGCCTCAATAGATTCAATTGGTGCAGTAAAATCAGTTAGTATATGCGCCTTGTCGAAGCCAACACGTTCTGATGTGGTCACATTATACGCATCTCCATCCAGAAAATCGGCATCAGTCATCAGAGTCGTCAGTGGTGAATAGAACGAAACATTTGAAATCTCTCGCCTCAACAAACGCCTCGATGCCAATTTCGCATCAGAAACTACAAATTAAAACAAAGCGAGGGTTTTTAAAACCAAGTGAAAGAGGGCTTTGGTGCTGTTGTCTGTAGAAAAGGTAGAGCATGGTGGCGAATACGCCTTATCAGACCATATATTGTAGTCTCAAGGACAGTATTTTACTTAATTTATTAGAAAAAAATTACTGAGACCCATATGAAACACATTTTCATTGCGACGGAGGACCAACAAGGATTGTTTTATCGTTGTCTTTAAAGACGCGGTCAATGCATGTTCAAAATTCACTAGAAAATACAATTTCTTTTTTAAAAAATAGTGAGGATGAATAAACTGACTCTCTTGAATAGTTAAAAGTGAGAACATTAGTTAAAAAAATAAGGTTTCTGAATGCGTCTTTTCTTAACAAAAGTTTTCTTCATTACAACTCAAATCGCAGTGAATGAAAGGGTAAATCGCAGTTAAGCTTCACAAATGGGCACAACAAACCGCAGAGTATTAAAAAAACTGGAGTTTCGTCTTTTTACCTGCATGCAAAAGTGAATGCTCAACCACGGCCACTTCTGCCCCCCTTCAAACCAAATGCACAAAAGGAAGAGAGTGTAAATTGGGGGACAAATTAACCCAACAAGAGACCACACCTTTGTGGAACGTATTGCGGTGGGAAATGATTGAGCAGAATGCACTTTAAGACAGTGGATGGGACCAACAAAGACTATAAAGCAAGAGTCCTGAATTGCATAAAACTATTCCATTGTTAGTAAATAGGCTGCCAAGGTCAAACAAGAACTTGAAATAAGCTTTTGCGTCAGCTTTCCAATGCTTCAATTCGTTCCCTAATTAATGATCATATCATGAGGGATGTGACCAGAAGAACGGCACTAACTTACATCAAGGTAAAAATTAAATATTATTATTAATATTCTGCCATGAATGGCGCAGCATGAAATTAGTATTTCGGACACGTTCAAGTATTCGGCTATACCTTCTGTTGTTTCGGTTGCCCGAGTCATTTCCATACTTGATGCTGAAATGGTAGAAAGTTAGTTTTCTAAGATGTGAATAAGGTATAATTAAATGAATTAATGCGACAACTCTCACGTTCAAAGGAGGCAGAAACGACGTGTGCTGGAACCAAAATGTTGTCATTAAAGGGGC